GTGTGCCTTGACCTTCAGAGATTTTGAATTTAGACTTCTGAATGTTCCAGCTGTCCAGACTGTGGAAACTGGGTTTGGAGAGGTGACTCTGTGTTAAGATCATTTACTGCTCTTCCAGAGGAGCCATACTGTTCCCAGCAACTGCCTGCGTTTTAAATTCCGACACGGATTTGAAACTTTGTGGGGTCTAAGGGAAGAATATTATGGGTTAAAGTGATAGTTTGGGTGTAGAGTTGACATGGGATGGGCTTATGATTAATTTTTTAAAAAATAGTTTATTTAATTTTATTTTATGTGCATTGGTGTGTCAGATTCCAAGGGGCCATCTCTCCAGCCCCTTGATTAATCTTATCAACTCTTCTGGGTTTAGAATCGCTGAGGACTCACCCTTCTGGGCATGTCTGTGAGGCAGCTTTTAAAGAAGGGCAGACCCACCCTGAATGTGAATGGCACCATTCCACAGGCTGAAGTCTCAGACTGAATAACAATGGGAAAAGGAGAAAGCGGCTGAGCTCTGGCCTTCCTTCTTCCTGATCCACCCGGAGGAGGTGTCATTGTAACCAACGTTCCGGCCATCGTGAACCGTACCCTTCAACCGTGAGCCAGAACTAACCTCTCCTCCTTTAGGTCGCCTCTAGGAAACGTCGCCTCTAGGAAACTATTCGGTCACAGAGATGAGAAAAGGAATTTTATAGTAGGTACTAGTAATAATTATGGGTAACAGAAGCCCTCATTCATTGTTGACAGGGATATAAATAGTACAGCCACCATGGGAAACCTTCAGTAGTTTCTCTAAAACTAAGCAAAGACTTAGCATACAACACACTTACAGGTATCTACCCAGGGCAAGTCAAGAGTGTGGTGCACAACTTTGACACAGTGCAGGCAGCATTTCATCTTTCTGGGCTTCTTAAAAGCGTGGTCCCAGTCAAACTGAAGTCAAACAACGTTCTTCAATATGCTGGCCCAGCCCTCGAAAGTGTCAAGGTTATCAAAACCAAGGAAAGTCAGAGAAATCGTCACAGCCAGAGGAGCCTTAAGGATCCATTGAAACTGAATGGGTGGTGCTTTGGACAGCATCCTAGAAAAGAAAAGGGACGTTAGTGGTAACTACAGAGTGTAAGTGAAATAGATATAGCTGTATGGGTCAATGTTGTTTCATGAGTAATAAATGTATGATGATGTGAGATTTGTTTTCATGTACCTGTGTGCTTGCATGAGTTCATGGGGAGCACAGACATGCAGTGCCCTGGAGGTCAGAAGGAGATGACTAAGCCACCATGTGTGTGTTGTGCTGAAACTGGGTCCTCTGCAAGAGCAGACAGTGATTTTTTTTAATGTTTTATAAAATCTTTGTTGACAATTAATTCACATAGTATACAATTTGCCTGTTTGCACAATTTGATAGACTTTAGTCCAGCATCCTCATAGGCCCATGACACCATCGACCACTTTCTATTTTAGAACATTGCTGCCCTCAATTTCATACATGCATATAATGTATGGTGATTACGTTCCACCTTATTTTTTTAAATGAACATAATAATTGCAATTGTAACCAAATATTTTCCAGTTTCAAATAACTCTGAACTTTTGAATTATAACCTGTTTTTATGTTTAAGCTATCTGTGTATTATTTCTCCTGCAGTTGTACATAAAATGTTTTTTCGTTCAGACTGCTCTTGACCATAGATCCGTATCTCCAGCCTTGTGGGATGTTTTAAACACAGACCGGAGGCTCTGTGCCTCACCTCTGCAGTTTCTTTGGAAATCTGAAAGCATTCTAAATTTTATTTTACAATTTATTTATGTGTGTGAGAGAGACAGAGGAGCTGGAGGCACAGGCTTACTGTGAGCCGTCTGATGTGGGTGCTGAGAATCAAACTCAGGTTCCCTGCAAGAGCTGTAAGTGCGCTTAACCACTGAACCATCCCTCTCCAGCCCTTGTCTAAGATCATGTTTAGAAAATAGCCTTCAGGGGCTGGGAGTGTTGTTCAGTAATAGATTGGTTGCTTGATATGTGCCCTGGGTTGAATGGGTTGAATCCCCAGTTCTGCTCCTGTGTGCATGAGAGCACCAACCCCCCTTTGCCACCCCCTCCCTCAGGAGGGGAATAAAAAGTGGAAGTAATGTTGATATCAAGGGATTGGAGAGGGGAGTACTCAGAGATAAGACAGGATGCCTGTCTTATCTAACAGCTCTACTTTCTTCCAACTGCTGTGTAGTCCTGGGCTCTCAGAAGCATTTCATCCCCTACACCCTGGCCCAGCCTTCAGTAGGCCATTTCCGGCTGATTCCCAGACAACCTTGTCCTCTCCCCGCTTTGGCAATCTAAGAGGATAGAGCAGCAGCGCCCTCGTGTGGCCATGGTATTGAGGACAAAAGATCCTAGTTCTTTAGCCTCCCGCGGGCGGAAACGTCCCCGGGGTCACCAAAGCTTTCAGCAACTACGCCAGGCTCAGTACTCAAAGCTGTGTCAAGTCCACGTGGATGCGTCCTCTCCATTGAGTGTTGGTGGACTCTGATTCACGACAGAAGTCTCCAGGTTGACCATTGTGTCCGTAGTTCCCATAGTGCTGGGACTTCCCTCCTTCTGGGAACCAGCCCAGAACTTTCCACAAACGACGGAGGAGCCAAACCACCCAGGGCTTTGTCCTGGAAAGACAGGGAGGTCCCAGAAGCCAAAATAGAGGTGTGAGACTGGGAGAGAGGCCAAAAGGAATGAATGGCGGGTGGAGACCAGAGAGAAAGGGGCACAGAAAGTCTACACGGGGATATCGATGCTTCAGGAGTGAGTTCAGTTGGGGACATGCTTAGGACCTTCTCTAGCTAGAGTGCCGCTTTTCACATGGATATGACCCATTGAAATGCCAGGTTATGAGAGGGGGAGAGGAGGAAAAGAGGGCAAGAGATAGCAAAACATTTTTTAAATAAATTTTATTTTCATTGTATTTTATGTGTACGGGTATACATTTCGCCTGAATGTACACGTGTGCACCACTTACATGTTTGGTACTCTCAGAGGCCAGAAGAAGGTGTCCGATCCCCTGGAGCTGGAGTTGTAGAGGGTTGTGAGCTGCCATGTTGGTGCTGAGAACTGAACCCCAATCCTCTGCAAGAGCAGCCAGTGGTCCGTCCATCTCTCAGAGTTTTCATATTTTAACAAATCTGGAAACTCTGTATTAGGGTTTTCTTAACATTGCCAGTTTTTGTTTGTTTGTGTGGTGACGCTGGGCTTTGGTTCTTTGTTTTTATTTTAGACAAGATGTCCCTGTGTAGCCATTGAGATCTTATATCTCATAAACTACGAAAATGTCCTGTCACTGAGCTACATCCTCAGGCTGTTTTATTAGATGCATGTTAACTTGCCTGGACTGTACCCCATGATGTCAGCCTTGGGTGACGTTCATGCTTCATTTTCCCTGGACTCAGTTGCTACGTTTTGGGATGGGGTATTTAAGTGGTTTGTTCTGTGTCTGTGTGATTTAGTAATCAGTAAGATTTGGACAGTTTCTATTCAAGCTTTTGTGCCCATTCTTTCTTTTTCTTTTTTTTTTTTTTAAGATTCATTTATTTATTATGTATAGTGTTTTGCCTGCGGGCCAGAAGAGGGCACCAGATCTCATTACAGATGGTTGTGAGCAGCCATGTGGTTGCTGGGAATTGAACTCAGGACCTCTGGAAGAGCAAGCAGCCAGTGCTCTTAGCCACTGAGCCATCTCTCTGTAATCTAGGCTGGCCGCAAATGTGCTGCAATCCTGTCTCTAGTGCTGAGATTATGCATACTCGATAGCACCTGGCTGTTCATTAAGACCTTTTCTGCTTCAATGTCTGTTGATTGGGGGGCGTGGGGGGGGGGCGGACAAAAATGCAGATTTGCAAGTCCCACCAGGACAGATTCTGCCTTTTAAGGATAGACCTCCTGCATAGTCTGGTTTTTCTACACTCATGAATACTTTAGAAGTCAGCCTGGAGTTTGGATAGAGTTTATGTTCAGAGTTTTGTTTGTTTGTGGTAATGGGGATGGAATCCAGGGTTTTCTGTATGTTAAGGAAACACTCTACACTGAGTGCAGCAGCAGCTACATTCAAATGTCGGATCTCAGTCCTCTGTGCTTGCCTTGTGATCTAAATGCTGTCAACACCAGAGCCACTGGGGCTGCAGTAATTTGCTTAGGGGTTGGAAAACACACATAAGTACTGTCTTAAAGTTTCTATTGCTGTGATGAAACACCATGATCAAAAAGCAAGTTGGGGAGAAAAGGGTTTATTTGGCTCACACTTCCAGATCACCGTTCATCACTGAAGTAAGTTAGGGCAGGAACTTAAACAGGGCAGTAACCTGGAGGCAGGAGCTGTGATGCAGAGACCATGGACGGGTGCTGCTTACTGACTTGCTCCTCATGGCTTGCTGAGCCTATTTTCGTATAGAACTCAGGACCACCAGCCCAGGGATGGCACCACCCACCATGGTCTGTGCCCTCCCCCATCAATCACTAATCAAGAAAATGCTCAGAGGCTGAGAGCGGTTGTGTCTTTTATGTGTTTTTGTTGTTGTTTTTCTTACTGTGTAGTCCAGGCTGTCCTGGAACTCACTTCCACCTGCCTAGTACTGGAATTAGCAAAGTTGAGTCACGCGCTCAGGAACCCTCCCTGCCCTCAGAAGTAAATACTTAACTCTGGGGAATGGGATTTCCTAGCTCAGGTGAGACTAGTGATGATCGACCGGAGGCGGGGCGAGAAGGCGTGGCATTGGGTTTCTTAAGTTCTAAATTTCTGACCTTGGCGGGCAGCCACCCGAGGTGGGTTACCGGCGAGCGGGAGCGGAGGGACTGCGAGTCAAGGTGTGGCCACCGCGTAGAGAATTGCTGACTTGGGGCAGAAGCGCCTTCCTGAGTTCACGCCGCTGCATTCCCGTCCGGGCTGGAACGCGCCCCGCCCTTCGGGGAGCTGCGTTCTCCGGAGGTGGGGCGGGGTGGGGGGTCGGGGGTTGGGGGACGGAGTTGCAGGCGTGAGCGTGCGCAGTCCGGGGCAGCCGCCCGGAGGACCCGCGCTGGGGAAGACTGTAGGCCAGCCGCGGGACTGTCGGGCTGCGGCCTCTGTGAGAGCCCCGGTGGAGCCACGAGGGGACCCACACCAGCTGGGGGAAGCCTCCCCGCCCGGCAACGCGGTGGTAAAGCTCACGCGGCTGAGCCCCGGGGGTTTCGGGGCTGGGGCCGGGCACATCCAGCAAAGCCTACGGTGTGCGGGCCTGTCTCCACAGGTTGTATACGTGGAAGAGAGGCGGGTCACTCAGATTTAGAGAAAGAGAGGAGGACAGACAGGGTGTCTTGCAGTGAGCAAGGCTGCCTGATCTTCCTTTCTCGGTCCCCTGAGCTCAGGGATTGCAAGTGTGTGCTATTCTGGCCCGCCCGACTCCTCAGATTTGGGAAATCATGAATGGGTTTTAGTTGGGAGGAGTGGACTCGGGATTGAGAAATGCCCACACATCCCCCCAACCCCCAATTTACCCTATGGAAGGGTAGGGGCCAGTCCAGGGTACAGGTGAACTCACTTGGGACTTCCTGCCTATTAACAGCCAAGTCTTGATTCGGTCTTCTTCCACTCTGGAGTCTCCTGGACCAGGAAAGTACAAAAGGAGGTAAAAGAGGGAGGAGGTGGGTGGAGGTAAGCAATACTTGGCAGTCTTCTTAAGCAGCCTAAATCTGTACCGAGGACTGCTCCCTGCTATCGTGTGTGTGTGTGTGTGTGTGTGTGTGTGTGGTTTTCTGAGACTTATTTTGTAGTCCAGGCTGCCCAGAACTCATGGAGATCTGTCTCCTTCTTCCTGGTGCCTGGGTAATAGGCTGGGTCACCAGACGTGCATCTTCCTGCCATTGTGAAGACTTGATGATAGCAGGGTCCTGCTTGCTGAAAACTTACAGGCAGGTCCTTGAAAACACTAGTATAGAGCTGTTTGGAGTGCGGATGGCTGAAAAGTGGGAGAGATGCCAGATCTGCCCATCTCAAGTCACAGTCTCAAAGAGCCTTAAAAGAAAGGGAGAGGGGAATGGTAGGTAAGACAGAGAAGGAAGGAAGAAAATCAACTTCAGATCCTAGGAATACAGCTTTCCTGGCAACTTCTTGGGGATCCAGTTAGCAATTCCTCGAATGCCTTGTTCCTTGCCGGTGTTTTCACTTAACCAAAGAAGTGAGTGGAAAAGAGAGAGCGACATGTTTTTATGCCTTTAATGCTTTCCTTAGCATCTAGAGAGAGGAGAAATAGGTGAATGGCTGTCCACAGGAAGAGACCTTTTTTGTTTTTTTAATCAGCATAAAGTTTTGCACGTGAACAAGGAACGCTGTTGTATCATTATCACTGTGCTCTCCAAGGATCTGGTTGTAGAAGTGATACCTGACTCATGCCAAGACTTAAGATGGTTCAAGATAATGGGAAAGTCCTACACATTCATTCAGCTTGTATTTGGGGTTTGAGTTAACTTGTCCCTATACTAGCACTAGTACATAGGATACTCTGTTGTTTCTTCATGCAGGATAGTGGTCACAGGTTGCAGTTTCCAGACAGCTAGCAGATTAAGAGGGAAACAACACTCTACAGAGTGCTGTGTTACTAAGTTCTGTAGGCTAGGTGCATTGCCTGCACTTCTGACCTAATCATATTTTTAGCTTAAGAGGTCGTCAGGGGATAGCTCGATTGTAAATAACGTATGTATACAAAAATCTAGCAGAGCTTGAGGTATACATAAGGCTCTGTGGTACATTACTTGCTTAGTATCCACAAGCCCCTGGGCCTGAGCCCCAAGGCACTACACACATATTCAGGTCACAGAATCTATGTTTTAATCTTTGGTCCTGGGAGAGAGATTTACTTTCATGTTTCCAATGAAATCAAGTCAGGGAGAATGAAGGATCAGTGGTGTGTGTTAAATTCAAGGATGTACTTTTCAGTGGTGCTGAATCTAGAATTAAAAAACTAACTCTCCCGTGGGTCAAATGTCCTTGAGTGAATGACTTAACATCGCTACGTTTGAGGTTTTGTGAAGATGGAATCATTAACTGTTACCTCAAATGATACTGCTGAGAAGGTTCCGTCACAGTGCAGGAAGTTGGTGACTGTGTGTTAAGGAAGCACTGGCTTCTGGCTTTCCTTTTCCTGATACTGTATCTTTTTCCCTAATCTCAGATTTCTAGAAGTGGGCACCAACAAGCAGTGACTAGAAGCAGTCTGGGATAAACTTCAAACACCAGTCTGGCATTACCGAACAATGGGAGCTAAGAAACAGGTAACCAGAGCCCTGAACTCTACAGCCTGGGCTTTGAGGGAACTAAAGCTATCACCTGTGAAAGAGGAGAATTTGTACAGCTGAACATTGAAGGAAGACAGTCTTTTAGAGTAGACACTTTTATTACAAGAAGCAATATCTTTGTTGGGGCCTTATAGGACTGTAGGTGAAGGTTTTCCTGTGTCCCGCCAGGTCCTGCAGCTGCTCAGACCCAAGTAAACACACAGAGACTTATATTAATTAAAACTGCTCGGCCAGTAGCTCAGGCCTACCACTGACTAGCTCTTACACTTAAACTCAACCCATTTCTGTTAATCTATATGTTGCCATGTGTTCTGTGGCTTTACCTGTGTGCCATTACATGCTGCTTCCTGGACAGTGGGCTTGCATCTCCTCCTCAGTTCTGGTTTTGTTTTTTTTTGTTTGTTTGTTTGTTTGTTTTGGGTTTTTTTTTTGTTGTTGTTGTTTTTCTCAGAATTCTCCTTCTCTGCTTATTCTGCCTATACGTCCTGCCTGGCTACTGACCAATTAGCGTTTTATTTATTAACCAATCAGAGCAACACATTCACAGCATATAGAACATCCCACAGCACCTCCCCTTTTCTGTCTAATCAAAAAGGAAGGGTTTAACTTTAACATAGTATAATTACATATAACAAACAGTTATCAAGTAAGACTTACAGTTACAATATCTAGTCTATTTATATTTTGTAAAATTAAAGAAAATATTCTATCCTATATTTGTGAGTAAAGTTTCATATCTAATTTATCTTTTATCATAACTAAGCAAAATTATAACTATCTAGTCTTCAACTACATCAAAGACCTCAGAAGGATATAATATTACCTAAGTAACCAGGAAGTACATTGTAAGCAACTTCCAAAAATCTAGAATGACAGAGATAGCTGGCTGCCTGGACAGTCATCCAAAGTTCTTCTATAACATTAGGGCATCCATTCTTCAGCCCACAGGCCTAGAGTCTCTCAGTTGCTTCTCTGTATGTCCTGTAGAATGTCTGGCAGTTTCCTCTGTGAAGCAGGAACCTGAAGAACCATCTTGCCTTGCTGTTCTGCCCTCTCATTGGCTCTTAGCCCAGCTACCTCACTTCCTTGTCACTGCCTGTCTGTACAGACCTCCAGGTCTCTATGGTTGGTACTGGGATTAAAGGCGTGTGTCACCACGATTAGTTGTTCTCTACTGTGTCCTTGAACACACAGACTGCTTGCCAGGTGATCGGGATTAAGGGCATGTGCTACCACTGTCTGACTTTAGTTTATGGGCTGGCTATGTCCTATGATCTCTAGGCAAACTTTATTAACATTACAAATAAAATATCACCACATAGGACCTCCCTATTTGCCTACTGCCTGGGAGGTAGAGAGTCACAAGGAGTCCCATTAATCTTGGGGACCAGGCCAGAAGTGACTGAAACCAGAAAGAGAAACAACTAAAGACATACTGCTCCGTGGAATAGTTAGCATGTTAGCTGCTCTACAGGAGCCCAGAAGAAAGGTTATAGTAGAGGAGTTAGGGATGTCTTAGGGTGTAAAGTACTTGTACAAACATGAGGACCCAGTGTTCAGTCCCCACATAAAAACAAAACAAAACCCACAAGAAACTAGTTGCAGCAGGATAATCCCAGAGGCTTTCTGGCCAGATAACTGTGGTTGCATTGATCTCCAGGTTCAATGAGAGATTTCTCAAAAAAACTAAGGCAGAGGAAGACACACATGCATGTAACAAGATTACCAGTGAAGTCTGACATTGGAAGGGAGAAAGATCAGGTAGAGAAATGCAAGGCCACGGCCTCTCTGAGGTCTCTTACCCAGTCCCCTGTCTGTGGATCTAGTGGAACTTCAGATTGTCCCAGGCCAAACAAAGGGGGGAAAAAGGAGTTACAAGATTTTGTCTATCTCCCATACCACCCTAGCATCCTTCACAGATTTTGTAAGAGTAGCCATTAATTTTTTCACTTCTCTATATTCAGTGATTTCCTTCTTTGTATCATCCTCTCCTCTCTGTAAACCACAGCTCCTGACTTTGTGCCCTCCTTCATACTTGTTCTTTCCTCTCATGGCATTATCTTTCTCTTAGGTTTGAATTCTCTAAATCTTGAGAATATGTTAGTATTTTATAGTCCAAGTGAGAACATGACACACTGCCATGCATATAAGGCCAAATAGGAGTCCTTCATTTAAGCTGGTGACCAGGAGCAGGCTAGCACCTTGGGAAAACTCTTGGCGTAAAAGCTCAGGGCTACAGCAGTTATAAAGGTAAAACCACATTGTCAGGAATAGGTTAGGGGAACCTGGTAATATTTGCTTTGGCTACACACTTCAGATATTTTGGTTATGAGTTTGGGCTATGGTCAGGATCATAGAAAATCCTGAATGTGTTGCCAAGGCTGATGTAACTGTTTAGAGGGTCCCTAAGCAGACACAAAGTCAGGGCAAGAGGTGTTACCTTAGTCACTTGAAGTCTATGTCTTCCCAGCGACTCCAGATACCAATCACTTATGAGGACGTGGCAGTGGATTTCACCCAGGAAGAATGGGAATGTCTGACTGAGAAGCAGAAGGCTGTTTACCAGAATGTGCTGTCAGAAACCTTTAAGAACCTGACATTTGTAGGTAAGAGATCATGACTCCCTTGGTGCTCTCCCTGTCCTATAGCTTTAGAATATGTATTTGATTTTTTTGCTCAGGTAGATCAAAGTTGGCTCCTAGTTCTGTACCTGGAAGATCTGAGTTACGAAGTTCAGGGGTAAAAATCAAAGGAATGAAGACTTATATGACGAGCTAGGTGTGGAAGTGGAGGTAGGAAGACCATAGGTCAAGGGTGATTCTCAGCTACAAAGCAGCTTTATGGCCAGCCTGGAATGCACGGGAAAACAAGACAAAAAAGCTACATAGGCCCAGAGAGGTGGCTCGGGAGTTAAGAGAGCACTTGTTGTTCTTGCAGAGGACCCAAGTTCAGTTTGCAGCCCCCACATGGTGGCACACAAACATTTGTAACTCCAGTTCCAGTGGTCCCACACCATCTTCTGACTTCTGTGGGCACCAGGCATGTAGGTGGAATACATACATATATACATGCAGGCAAAACACTCAACACACACACACACACACACACACACACAAACACACACACACACACACACACACACACACACCAAATTAAAATAAACCTGAAAACAAAAACACCCTGTAGAAAGACAAAGATAATGTTTTTGTGTGTGTGCATATGTGTAGGTACACTTACATGTTCATGTGGAGGCCAGGGTCAGCTTTGAGCCTTCATTCCTCAGGACACCACCCACCCTGTTTTTTTTGTTGTTTCTGGTAGAGTCTCACTGATAGAGCTAGGCTAACTGGCCAGTGAGCCCTAAGGATCTGCTCGTCCCTGCTTCCAGACACAGGCATTACACCCAAGTACCACTACACCTGGCCTTTTTGTGTGTTCTGGGAATCAAACTCGAGCACTCATGATTGCATGGCAAACATTTTATCAACTGAGCTACTTCCCCAACCCCAAGACATACTTTTATCACTATCACCATATTGTGAAAATGTGCAAATTTGCCTATTCAGGCCTAGTTTGTTGACAAAAGCCTGTAATCCCAACACTTCTGGAGCTGATGCAGGAGGATCACAAATTGGTTAGAGAGACTGAGGCCATCTTGGACTATATAGTGAAACTGTCTCAAAAAACACCTGCCTATATATCCAACCAATATTTACTTAGTCTTGTGTGCAAGCCATTATATTAGAAGCTGCCTTTTAAAATATCTTTTTTCCTGCAACCAAGTGTTTTAGATTAATGTTCCTTAAAAACAAAAACAAAACCCCACATTTTTTGGGTTTATTTTATGTATATAAATGTTTTGCTTGTATGTTTGTATGTATACTATTTGTGTGCCTGGTATCTGTAGAGGTTAGAAGAGGGTACGGGATCCCCTGAAACTGAATTATAGATGGTTGTAAGCCACCATGTGGTTACTGGTAACAAAATCCAGATCCTCTACAGAGTAACAAGTGCACTAAACTGCTGAGCCATCTCTCCAGCCCTGGATTGATGTTCTTAAAGCAGGCACGTAAGAGGTTGCCTGTTCTCTGCAAAATAAAGGGGCGTAGTATGGGACCAACTTGTTTCATTTCCACACTGCAGACAGTCACGGTAGTGCATCTCATCACTCGGAAGGATGGAGAGTTCAGAGCCAGCTTGCACAGTGAGACAAAGACAACAAAACTGTGCCTCCCACCCACCCAAAATATAACTCCACTCACAGCCAAAATATTTTCTGCCTAAACCAGATCAGAACACCATGCAAAATGGAAAAGGACGGAGGAGATCAGGTTTCCATCCCCCAAAGACAGCAGGTAAGAATGGCAGGGGAAGCAGGGTAAGGTAGCTCACATCTGTAATCCTAACACCTCAGCTTCATGGTGTATTTGAGGCCCTGTCATCTCACAAAACCAAGGGCCAGCAAAATGGTTCAGTGGTTAAAAGTGCCCTGCCACCAAGGCTCACAGTTGGAAATTTGACATATACTTGGAAGGAAGAACCAATCCCACAAGTTGTCTGCTTACTTCCATAAGCATGTTGTAGCATGTTTATACATGCACGCATGAATACAAAAATAATAAAGGTGTAATTTTAAAGCTGAAAAAAAAATGCAAAGGAGAGAGGAAGGTAAAAAGGGCCGAGGACAATCGTAGAATTGTCCTCCAGGATCCAGGCTCAGTGTATCATCTCAATGTCTTTATACCTTTCCATCCTGATTAGACCTAGGACTGGAAGAAACCTTGAGATCAAAGGTTTAGGTCCACTGACTTCATGATGAATAGCCAGGACTTTCAAAACAAGGATTCTAGTTTCTAGGAATTGAGAGATTACATGTGGGTCACTTATGTCAGGATTAACCCAAGAGAATTCTTCCCAAGAGAAAGTGAATAAGCAATGTTGAGCCTGAGAAGGGTAGGCTTGTTCCTAAGATAAGAATTGAGAGGAATAATTTAGGGTGGCCACATGCCTGGTCTGAGACAGTTGTGCTGTGTTGCTTCTTATCCCAGTTCAATGACTAATAATTAATACCATCACTTTTCACCCCAGATTTGCAAGACAAATAGTCTTCCTTGGACTGGAGATGTAGCTGACTGGGGGAGCACTTGCATGCCTGGTTTGCCTCCCCAACATGGGATAAAGTTTTCTATTCTGAGGGGTTTTGTTTCAGAAGCTACAATCACACATAGCCCTGGGCCCAATTTATGTGTTTTTTTGTTTTTACAGAGCTGGGAATTGAATCCAGGGCTTTGCATATACTTGGCAAGGGCTCTACTACTGAGTTATATCCTCAGCCCCTGAGTTCTGTTTTTTATACTAGACACAGTAATAAACTAAACTAAAATACTAATAAAATAGATTAATTATAATCTACATTAAAAAGTTACGTGAGGGTTGGGGATTTAGCTCAGTGGTAGAGTGCTTGCCTAGCAAGCGCAGCCCTGGGTTCGATCCTCAGCTAAAAAAAAAGTTATGTGAATGTGGTCTTACAGTAGGGAATTCTCCCCTTAATATTTTTGGACTGGCTGACACATGTGAAATCAGGGATGAGGGGAGATTATTGCTTACCATATGGTCTTGTCATCTGTGGGAATATGAGCAATATTGAGAATGAGAAGATGGATTTCAAAGATGTAAGCTAGCATTTAGATATTTGAGATCATAGGAGATTTCTATGAAATTTTTACTAGCTTTTTTTTTTTTATTTATTATGTATACAGAAGAGGGCGCCAGATCTCATTACAGATGGTTGTGAGCCACCATGTGGTTGCTGGGAATTGAACTCAGGACCTCTGGAAGTGCAGTCGGTGCTCTTAACCTCTGAGCCATCTCTCCAGCCCCTTTATTAGCTTTTTAAAAAATATTTATTTATTATGTATATACTGTTCTGCCTGCATGTATACCTGCATGCCAGAAGAGGGCACCAGACCTCATTATAGATGGTTGTGAGCCACCATTGGTTGCTGGGAACTGAACTCAGGACCTCTGCAAGAGCAGCCAGTGCTCTTAACCTCTGAGCCATCTCTCCAGCCCCAAAATTTTTACTAGCTTTTATTGTTTTTTTGTTTTTTTTTTTTTTTTCCCGAGATAGGGTTTCTCTGTGTAGCTTTGCGCCTTTCCTGGAACTCACTTGGTAGTCCAGGCTGGCCTCGAACTCACAGAGATCCGCCTGCCTCTGCCTCCCAAGTGCTGGGATTAAAGGCGTGCGCCACCACCGCCCGGCACTTTTATTGTTTTTATTTATTGGTTTTTCCTATTTCTATCCTATAAGACCCAAGGATGAACAGTTGAGTTTTGAAGGTTAGGAAAATGGAAAGTGACTTGCACTGAGTGAAAACCTTGTGTTGGTGATGTTGTCATGTTAAACTGTATTTTGCTTCCTTTACCACAGGACACAAGAGAAAATCTCAAAAACCTAGCTCAAACCTGGAAGATGAGGAGAGAGATGATGAAGAGAAGACCTCTCCTGTTTGCACAGGGATATTCAAAGGTGGACCTCTCTATTTCTGTCTGACCTGTGGCAAATGTTACAAAAAGTACACCAACGTCGTTGATCACCAGTATCCTTTGAAGGCCCAGCAGACTACTGGCCACAAAGCCCTCAGCTCCAAGCCCCAGAATCATAGAGGGAGGCCTTTCTCTTGTGAGCTCTGTGACAAGAATTACCGTGATGCCTCTGGACTGAGCCGTCACCGACGTACTCATTTAGGTTATAGGCCCAGTTCATGTTCTGTGTGTGGAAAACGCTTCCGGGATCAGTCTGAGGTCAAACGCCACATGAAGGTGCACCAAAACAGGAAGCCAGTGGCTGGCAGCCAGGAGCGTAAGGTGAAGAAGGCTCCACGTACATCACCTAGATCCCAGGCTCCCATCCTCAGGCACTCAAAAGTGATCCAGGGACCAGTGGCCAGGACTAAGACAAGGAACAGCAGAGCCTCATCCCTGGATGTCAGATCCAACCCTATTCCAGTGAGATGCTCTAGAAGAAAGATCCGCTGCCCCTATTGTTCATTACGTTTAACCAGGAAGACCTATTTCTTAACCCACCTCAAGTTCCACTTCAAAAATCAGCCCAGCCAATACTTAAGTTGCAGGGAGTCCTCCCAGTCGTCTGTGATGGTAGACTCCCACCGGAACACCCACAGGAAGCAAAATATCTACTGTTGCCCCATCTGTGATATCTGCTTTAGGGGAAAGGAAAGCCTGCTGGATCACTTGTGCTGTAAGAAATCAGGCAGACCCATTAAGTGCTGGGCAATCCTGGGTCATTTGCTTGGCTTTCTTTATGAACCCTTGTGTCTGGGAAATACTTCAACAGTAGAGGAGTCCTCTGAGGAGGAGGAATGAAAAAATGAAATATGCATGCAGTGAGAATCCTGAAGCATAAATAAAAGACCTGTTTGGGGCTGGTGAGATGGCTTAGTGGCCAAAGGAGCTTGCTACTCAGTCTGACCTCCTGAATTTGAGCCCTGAGACCATGGTGACAGAAGGAAAGAACCTATTCCTGACCTCACACATGTCCCACCCCTCACATCTCTCCCCACCTCCACAAAATAAATATAATTTTTAAAACTAAAAGAAGGGGGTCATCTCAGTCTTGGCGTTTGGTTTTTCTGAAGACTGGCCTCTGGGCTCAGGAGGTTTGAACAGGAGAGGTGAGTGGATGATGAAAGACTCAACGAGGAAAAGGAATGGAAGTGTGCACAGAGAAACTTGTATTATTAATTAGCACCTAGCTTGTTCGTGTCTGGTAGACCATCAAGTAGTAGTTGTTGATAAAACAGTGGGTATTCTGAGAGGAATGAGGACAGGAGAAAATGAGAGGCGGGAGTACAAAGGACACAGGGAAGTAGGAGGGAAAAGACAGGACACCCAGTTCTCAGCCCTTGTTCCTCAAGCTCCTCCCATCCACAGGCTGCCCGTCTCCGGGTTTGGGTTCAGGCTCCATGGTCATACACTGGCTCACTTAGCTTCCCCAGTATTGTGGGCTCTGCTGTGGTCTTGGAAGAAACATCCACCATTTGCACAGTTGATGTTCTGTAGTTTATAATGAGGTGCTGGATATCCTGTTTGACAGAATCACTCCTGCATTACTCTGGTACACAGGTGTCTTCTGATAGACGGCCTGGCCTCAGCCATGGGTACTTTCTGGAGGGAGACTGAGGCAGGAGTAAAAAGATATGGGAGGCAAAAATTAGAGGAAGGAAGGAGCTGAGGGAAGGAAAACAGTTGAAGAGAAATCAAATTCTATTTGGAATCCAGAGTGTTTCTGTAGATGTAGATTGGAAAGTGCCTATGGCAGAGAGGCCAATGAGAGACATCCCCAGCGATCTGTCTCTTGGCCTACCAGGCTCTCCTTTGCTCCAGGAGTTGATGACTCAAAAGGGGTTTCCTAGAAGAAAGACAAGATCAAAAACCTGTCAGTGGTTTCTTTCATGAAGTCATTGAACTTAGGAGACAGTCCCCAGGGGTCATGTTATCTCTGCCTCTTCCACCCCCTAGGTTGGTCTTGAAGATGAGGTTCAGGAAAACTATTATGGAGAATGTCAAAGTAGATTGCAGAAGTGGGATTCTGGCCAAGGGGCACTGAAAATGTTAAGTCAGCAGGTAAGAGTGGCTAAGCAGCCTCTCTCACTGAAAACTTGTTATTCCCTTTCCCATTCCCTCACAGGAGAGGTCCTTCCTGTCCTGTCCTTCCTGGGATTATGGTCCCTCAGTAATTAATCACCTTCCCTATGCTGGTTTTCTTGTTCAGTTTAGAAGAAAGGAGAAAGGTTGGGAATGGTGGCACATGCCTGTGACCCTAGCACTCGGTGATGGAGGCAAGAGGATTGTCCTAAGTTCAGACCAGGCTGGTCTACATAGTGAGTTCCAGAGGCACATCCTGAGACTGATCTCAAGAATGGAAAGGGGTGTTGGGGAGAACTTACTTAGCTCTTCAAGAAACTGTCCTGCAAACAAAAATGAGTAGGTGGGTGATCAGCAGGAGATTCCCCCCAATGACACCTCATATCCTCCCTAGGCAACCCTCCCCTTCCACAGGGACCCATGCACCTCATTAAGTGGTTCTCAGTTTTTCTGAGAATTCTGATGGTGAGCATGGGGACACAGGAGAAAGGCAACCCCAGCCCTGGAATGTAGAACCTTGGTTCCACTCTTTCCCATTCTGGTCTGCCTGAGTTCCCGGCTGCGTAGTGGTTCTGTTTGCTGCCCAGACACTATACCTGCTAGTCTTCTGTGCAGCCAGTTGTAGCAGATGATCAAGGCAACCAGGGGTCCAAGAACAGGCACAATAACAAACAGTGTTATCTTCCAGCAGGGCACCCTCAGGAAGTGAGGATCTGAATGGTAGAACAGAACAGAGTGTTTCCCTCTATATCGTACCCACTCTTAAACCTGAAGCCTTCAAACACCAAAGGACTCGGGACAAAGTACAGAGTCCATGAATTTGGATGAGGTACACTGTTTTTATTTTCATTAACTTCTAATTGAATTTAGCTTTTCCTTTTTAGCTGATTTTATTTAGCATACAAAATCGTGGGTTGCACGACACTGACATTGTTTATATTCAGCTACTCACTCACCCTTCCTCACCCCCATCCCTAGCATTTTTGTTTGCTTTTTCGGAGATAGGGTGTCTTGCCATGCATGGCCTTGAACTTGAGAAATCCTGCCCCAGCCTACCAGGTGCTGGGATTACAGGTCACCAACCTGGCTATCCCTAAGGTTTTCTTATAGTAAAAAGGCAAGCAGCAGGCTAGGTAGGGACGTGGTTCAGCAGAATGAGTGCTCATTCACATGTTGAGGGCCCTGGGATCAGTTCTCAAAAACGCACAGTATTAGCACTGGCTGTATGATTTCAAGATACAAAAATGGTTGAGAATTTAGACATTCAAATCTTATAAGCAAAATCCTGGGGGCTGGGAATGTAGCTCAGTTTGTAGAGCTACATTCTTGTAACTTGCCTTTCATGCACGGAACTCTGAGTTCCATCCCCAGCACAGCATGCGCTAGGCTTGGTGGCTCACACCTCTAATCCTAGAACACAGGAGGTAGAGGCAGGGGGGTCAAAATTCAAGATAATCTTTGGCTATGTAACAAATTTGAGGCCAGCCTGAAAGACATGGCAGTCTGTCTCAAAATAAGTGAATGGGGTCAGCAGGATGGCTTAGTTGGTAGAGGCACTTGCTGCTAAGCCTGAAGACCTGAGTTTGATCCCCAGAACCCACATGATGGAAGGAAAGAACCATGTCTTCCAGATTGTCCTCTGACCTATGTTAGCACCTGCCCACACTCACCCACTCACCCCTACACACACGCACACGCACATTAAAAAATAACTGTATTTTTCTTTGGATGTTCAAAGGCTACATGTGTGTCAAAGACTACGTGTGTGATACCCACGCACTAGCCCACTGTCAGATGCTAGGGTGGGGCCCTCTGTGACAGATGCCAGAAGAATTGAACAGGGTTACCCTTGGCCTCAGAAAGAAAGGTTGTTTAGTAAGATTGCTCAGAGCAGAAATTTTCTGTGCTCTGCTTAGTGCTGTTTTCTAATTTGTATGGAATTTATTCAACAAACATTTGGGTACTCTTCTCTTGTTGGTGTTGTCCTTAGGAACTATGCAATCTGAAGTAAAGAAAATGCAAAGACGATTCTTGAGGGATTAATATTCTAGTTGGTGCATATGCATTTACCTGCACTTGGGAGGTGAAGGCAGAGGGATCAGAAGCCTAAGGCCATCCTTCATGACATAGAGAGTTTGAGGCCAGCCTGAGCCACATGAGCCCTTACTCAGAAAAGGTACAAGTGTGGCTTTACTTTTTCCTTAGAGAAGCCTTCTCTGATAAACTGTGTGCTTGGGTTGTACTCATGAAAACTAACTATGCCATATAAGTGTAGTAGATGACTTTTTAAAAATATAATTTTCTGGGTATGGCAGCATATGTCCCAACACTGGGGAGGCAGAGGCAGGTAAATCTCTGTGAGTTCAAGACCAACCTGATCTACATAGTAAATTTCAGGTTAGCCAGGGTTACATAGTAACGCCATGTTTCAAAAAAATCTTTTTTTTTTTTTTTTATTTATGAATGTATGCCCTGTGCATACAGATGTCTGCTGTGGGTCAGGAAACAGAACTTAGGTCCTCTAAAGGAGCAGCAAGTGCTTTTAACTGCTGAGCCATGTCTTTAGTTCCAGTAGTTGCATCTTGTTAAAGTATATATATATTTTTTCCAACTAGGCAACCAAGTTTATGTGCAAAGGATCTGTTTACCTACCTTTTATAATTCACAAGATGAAAACATATAAGAAATTTATATTTGTGCAATTTAGTGTAGTGCCTGACACTAGAATGTGATACATAAGCTTTTGCTATATTCCTACAGACTTTAAATGCAAAGAATAAAGGTGGAGGGACCTACCTAAGAGCCACTGGTCCTAGTTCCCCAGGCCACAAGTGAAATCCCACAGTGACTTGGGAGGGTTGGGATATGTCTGAACTTACCAAAAGTCCGATGTAGATTCTCTGAAAGAGGAACAGATGAAAATGGATTCAGTTGGGCACTGAGAGGGGATCCTCTCCCTGGACCTATTTAAATCTCTTAAAGCTGGTTCTAGTCCTACACAAAATAAAGCAAGCTATAGGATTTTATATCTACACTGGCTGAACTCAGGTGAAACAATAAGATTTCTAATTTTTAGTTGCTTATAGTTTTAAATACCGACATTCCCAACTGAAGGGATCACAAAGCACTGTGAGGAGAGCCAGAAATGGTCTGAAGAAAGGGGCATTTTGGTTAAGCTAAAAGACTAGACAGGAGGAATTAGGGAAGGGAGGGTGCCTGGAACTCACCGACTTCTGCTCGAAGTTTTCCTAAAATAGAAAAAGGCAACTTTTTAGTTCCCCAGTCTGCTACTGTATGAGGACCCTTCTGCACCCAGCACCTTGGACCTTTGTGTGGGCAACTTCATGATAGCTTGTATCTTAGGAGAGTGGGAAGAGCTCTAGATAAAAGCAAGAATTCAGGCTCTTTCTGTGGGTGTTGTCTGAATTAAATAAGGAAATAAAGAAAACCTGAGCCTGGATGTGAGGGCAATCCGGCTGTGGTGTCGATCATCCCAGTGATTGCCACGGTTGATTGTGCTCCCTTCTTTTCTTACAACTCCCCATGTGTCCCTCCCAAAACTGCTTGTTTGACTAGAGAGAATTAATTGTCTTCTAGAAGAGCAGGGCCTACTGGCCTTTGGTCAAAGGTATAGAAATAGCTGCACTTCATAGCTAGAACCTCCAAAAACTTTTAAGAATGCAAAAGTCTTCAGGACTGTCTCTCAGGAGCCAACAATACTCAAACCACTCAATCATGTTTGGTTTTATTTTTAATTCTCCCCCTCCCCTCTGTGTGTGCACGCGCATGTGTGCATGCCCTGAAATCCAGAAAAGGTTGTCAGATCTCCTGAAGTTATGGGTAGTTGTGAGCTGCCTGACGTATGTGCTAGGGATGGAACTCGAGTCCTCTGTAAGAGCCGTACAAGCTCTTAGCCCTTAAGCTGTCTTTCTAGTCCTATATCATAAGGC